GGCACTGACTGGGGAAATGGGCACTGTGAGCCTGACACAGAAGCTGGCAGCAGTGGCAGACAACTAAGTGCATTTACATTACATAGAAAAAAATAAAATAAAAAAAAAGCATACCCTTATCCCTAACCTAGCTATGCTTTTCCCCATCTTATGAACAGCAGCTACACTTTCCCTCCTTTTACTAAGCATGCAGCTTGAGAATGAATCTAAAATGGATGCTGTCCAGTAGGTGGGAGGGTCTGCTAGGGAGGCTGTGCTGCTAATTGGCTGGAATGTGTCTGCTGACTGTGAGGTACAGGGTCAAAGTTTACTCAATGATGACGAATAGGGGGCGGGTCGAACCGCGCATATGTTCGCCCACCGTGGCAAACGCGAACATGCTATGTTCGCCAGGAACCGTTCGCCAGCGAACCGTTCGGTACATCACTAGATATTAGTAGCATAGCCCTGCTGGTCTGAGCAGTGCAGCGTCAGGCCACACAACCCAGGAGTATTTGTCTCTGCCATTTTACGTTTTGCAGGCACGTCACCTTAAACTATGGGAGTGTTTCTGCATGTACAGAGGAGTTTGATGGTCGAAAAGGGACTGGGATAACTCCAACCGGTCTAAGCGGGGGTAGCAGCTATGTGATTCCACATAGCATCGATCTCTCCACAGCTCAGTCGCTTGTAGGCCGCAGATTGATCCCGCGGGCCCCCGACTATCAAGCGGCATGCCAGTGGGATCTCTGGGTTCGCCAAAACTTGCCTCGCACAGACAGCACACTGTGGCAGTGATTATGGTTTACAAACAAGGGTTATATCCAGGAGATTCTGCAAAGGGATGGTAGCTCGATCTCCACACGCCCTGTTGCCTCGGCAGTCAGGCTCTGTCTCCTTAAATCACATACATCTTAACTATTTTTGTAATTATTTTTTTTATCATATAAACAATGAATTTAGGATGAACTCAGGACAGTTGAGAGCAATGACTGTGCTAGGTTAGTTGGAATAGATAGCATGTACAGTTGTAATCAAAATTATTCAACTACCAGGAAAATCAGGTTTATTGTCAAAATTGACAGCCTTTCAGCTGTTTGCAGTGAACAAATCAAACAAAAGAAATTGAAATAGTTCAACACAATGAATGTTTCAAGTGGGTTTTTCCACATTCAACTGAAAATGCAACTTATAATGACTTCTTCAGTCAGAATCCCTCACAACAGCACAAATATGAAAAACAGGTGTTGTTTTGAGCTTCATTAGTTGCACCATGTGTGCTTGAGCTGGAACACTTGAAATACCTGAACTGGCTAGGGATTTGTTGAGTGTTACGTTTGACTGCATGTTAGAAATATGTCAAAAGTCAAAAGAATGGTTCACAAAGTTAAGAGAAAAGATCATCACCCTTCACAAACAAGGAACAGGAAACAAAAAGATAGTGAAGGCACTGAATGTTCCTAGAGACATCGTTGGAAGCATAGTTTGCAAGATCAAGGCTGAAGGAACAGTGGTTACACTACCTGGACAGGGCAGAAAAAGGAAGCTATCAATGAATGCAACCAGATTTCTGAGAAGGTAGGTTGTGAAAAACCCTTGAGTGACTGCAAAAAACCTGCAGTAAGACTTGGTGGCAACAGGCACTGAGGATTCAGTGAGCACAGTAAGGCATATAATAAACACAGAAAGTTTCCATGCCACAATTCCAAGAGTTACACTATTACTGACCCCAAAGCACAAGGAAAGTTGGCTCCAATATACTCAAAATCGTATAAGTAATTCACAAACATTTTGGGATTATGTTTTGTGGAGCGATGAAACAAAACTGGAACATTTTGGCTTAAAGGAACAGCAGTATGTCTAGAGGAAGAAAAATGAAGCATATGCTGAAAAGAACACCTACAGTAAGCATATTGGTGGCTCGGTTATGCTTTGGGGCTACTTTACATCTTTTGACACTCGAAACCTGTAGCGTGTGGAAGGCAAGATGGATTCATTGAAGTATCAGGAAATCCTAGTAAAAAAATATCATGCCGTCTGTAAGGAAGCTGAAGCTTGGGCATCACTGGACCTTCCAACAAAACAATGATCCCAAGCAGACCTCCACCAAGGCTTGGTTGCAGAAGACTTCCTGGAAAATTATAAAGTGGCCATCACAGTCAACTGACTTGAACTCCATAGAAAATCTCTCGTTGGATTTGAAGAAGTCGGTTGCAGCACACAAACCCAAGAATATTACTGAACTGGAGCAACCTGTTAAGATTCCTTAGGAAGGATGCTAGAAGATGGGATTTGGCTATGCATCTCATTTGCAGCAGATTATAACAGAAAATGGGTGCTCTACTAAGTACAAAAGATGTTTGCCATGAAATGGTTGAATAATTCTGAGGCTCGAGAAGTTGAATTTGGGGAAACCACTAAAATCATTGCTTGTGTTTGATTTGTTAATTGCAAACATCTGAAATATCTGTACATTTAGGCAATAAACCTGATTTTTAATGGGGGCTGAATGCTTTTGATTGCAATTGTATACGTCAATCTTAAAGGGACACTAAAAAGGTGCATTAAAACAACATTTGAAACTTTTTAGTCTAAATAATTATCTGTATTTTATTTTTGCACATTCAATGTCATATAGTTGTTTGCAAAGAATGTCTTGCAGCATTGATGGCTGTGTAATTTGTATGTATGTGTGTGTGTGTTATTAATGTTAATTAATGCAATTAATTATTAATGTAATCATGTTATTCTTCAATAGGTTAATGGCACAAATGTAACAAGTGTTCAGAAGGGTTTATTTTTTTGTAAATGTCTAAGCTGCAAGCTAGAATGAAAGCACACACTTTTAGCATTTAATCATAGAATGTATTCTGCATCCATCCGAATGTAATCAGAGTCAAATTAAAATATTTTTCAGGAACATTTTACATTTTCCTAAAATGTTTCACAGATACGGATACTCATTACTTCCGCCCCTTATAAATAACTGTATAATGACCGAAGCAGATTACAGAGGAGGATGAACTGGCTGAAAATGATGCATTTAATCCATGAAGGATAAACATCACAAGCCTTTAATGTCGGGTTGCTTTGTAATTACAAAGTAAACTGATGTTTTTTTCTTCATTTATTATAGAAGTTTCAACATGTTGTGATGTTTTTTTTAAAGGGACACTTTGGACACCAGTACAACTTTAATGAATTTAATAACTTTTGACCTAATTAACATGCTGTAATTTTTGTAAGTTCAAATCTTCTTAGTTTTTGCACAAAGTGAGTGGCTTTTAATTCCCAACCTGGCTGCAGACAGTAAGAGAAACTACAAACAGCTAGTGATGTCCTTACTATTTGTCTCCCTGGGTGTCCTCTCCTTCTAATGCAGGTTGTATTATAGATCAATCTGTGCTGTCCATCACTGAGCTGTGTGCATACATTTCATAAGGAAGTCTTTTCCTGGAGTGAGGGGGTGTGGTTAAGGAGGCTGGCTTAAACTATAAAGATTTGAGCACACATAAACAAAAAATCATGCACATGAATGAGTCCCTAATGTACTGGTGATGACAGTGTCCCTTTAAAATAGACACACTTTGTTTTGGATGATGAACATTTCAAAAAGTTAGATGCCATTAATATAAATATTTCATTTGTTTTTTTAAAGGTTGCCCATAATGACAACTTAATGCATATTTCCCTTAATCCTCTATTAGTCTTAAATTTTTTTAGAATTCTGTATTTCAAGTAAGTTAATAATATTACTAATAAAAACATTTATTACCACAAATGAAATATGTACACCTCCTCAAGTACACAATTAACCCTTCCTAAACTGACCGTAATTTCGACTGTGTTTATTAAAGTTATCTAAAGAGTGATATATTTTATTTATAATAAAGTCTGCAGAAATTTGCATCTTAGAGATTTATAGTGACGGGAAAAAAGGAAGTGAAGACACACACACACATCAAGCCAAAAGACTTGCTTTTCTCGCAGAAATCTCACTTTAACAGTGCTCTTACTACTGCAAGGGATTCTGGGTAGGCGTATGCAAATGAGCTCAA